AACTACATAATTATTTGTCAAATACTTCGAGGCATTCTCTCTCTGTGTTCTAAACAACTTTTATATGGTTATAATTTTACACACACACACTACAGTAGCAAATTATATTAAACAATCTAACACTTTTTTTTTCGTTAATGAAGATTGCGAGAAGAATAATGAAATTCTATTCTTTATATCTAACAAATAACATACATTTTATTCTTCTTCGATGAAATTTTAGAAAGCTATTCAAAATTGAGAATTAGCAATTTTAAGGATATTATAGAAAGATAGGATTTAATAAAATTTACAAACGTAACACCACGCCACTGCGAACCAGCAGACCGTAAAGCAAAGAGTTTGACAAGAATGTTAGTCGGGAAAACGCGGTAAAGCACCGATATCAAAGACCAGAAGTTGTTCTGAACTTACGTCCGGTATAGTCTATATCGCGGATCTCAAAGACCCACGCGACGGAATATCGCCGGCGACCCGCTCGTAAAGTGACGACGACGACGCGAATCGTCAGGCAGACCGATGACGAGAAGCGAATATAGACAGAGAGGAGGAGATGTAGATGAGAACGTAGACGGAGGTGGCGAGATGTTGTCGAGGGAGCGATGCTGACGACGACGACAACGACGACGACGGTGGTGATGGTGGTGGTCGTGGCGGACCAGATGTTTGGCTAATGATGTCAGCGGAATCGTAACTAAAACCGAGGCGGCCCCGGACTTAGCACCGGCTTAGCCTCAGCTTTGAAGGAAAGAGTCTTATTACCGGGGCCTGCACGTGCTGTTCGTGAGCGCGAAACCGTAGGGTAATTGGACCACCCACTCGACACACCAAGAGTGCCACTCTCCGTTCCCTCGTTGCTTCCCTTCCTCCTTTTCTCTTCCTTCTTTTTTTGTCCTCCGTCGCCGAGGACGCGAAAACGGCGGCGACCTTTCGACGAGCAGATAAACTGGAAGTCGCGCGACGACTTTCAGTCCCGACAGTTGTCGAGGCGTTCGCTCTCGTCCGTAATGTTACACGCGGAAAGAGATGCTAACTCGTGTCCACGAGCTTATCGAGAACATTCCTTTACCACTACTCGTAAAGTTATTGCGATTGCTGAATAAATGTATGATAAGAGAATGAGGATGATAACTATCTCATATATTATATGTCAATTAAAGATTACGAATGTAAATCGTTACGAGATTCGCTTCTTGTAAAAGTCCTCATTGAAAATTAAAAACTATTATATATATATATATTTAAATAAAAGAATACATTGGATACTGGATTAGCTCTGAAAAAGTACCTACTGTCTTGAATATTAGATTAATTCTAAAACTACCCATATTACTCAATATTATTGATTAATAGAATATAACTTTTAAATTTTATCTCTATATCATATTTTTATTGCACCTGACTAACATCTAATATTTTTTTTAATACTTTATGTGTATTAAGTCGATATTAAAATGCCGAAGCAACAATTTTCCTCAAATTGGCTTATTACTGTGAAAATGGGACGCATCATTTGGTTCCTAGTTTTGAGACAGTGTGGATTAATTGGACCACCTACGGATAACTGGAGTTGCGACAAGCGGCTCTCTTTTCCAAATAAATACACGCGTGTTGTGCCTCATCTCGGGTAGTGGGTGGGAGGGCCTTCCAAAAGACGTCGGTACCCCAAGTAGTCGAAGAGCAGCAGGAGCGTGTCGTACCATACTGCATCTCGTCCGTGACACTCGACCCGGAAGACAAGGACTGATTTATGCCTGCTGGCTCGCCGGACGGAAATTAGATGGGTTCGTGTCGAGGGATATCACTACGCTTGTTTGACATTTTTATGTGGTGCCGCCGATATTTTCTTTCGTTCAAGCACTAACGCGTGTGGGAAGACGTTAATTAACGACATCATCTAATCACCAATTACCACAAGCTCGGTTTTACGTCTGACTAACTTTTGGCGTTCTAAACAATTCTTAGCAAATCTTGGTTTTTTGACAAATTTAGTTTATTATTATAAAATATGTGTCATAAGACCGCAATGTAAATACACAATAACGAGAAAGCTTTATTGATTTAAATTGGATTATAATGCTTAAATAATATTTTGGTGCGAACGCATATACAATATATACATATGTATTCAATTCTACACTACACTGTTCAATAATTTTCAGTTTAAACGCAATCTTAATCTAGAATAATAATATTACGAATTAAATTGCCAAGAAATTTAATAATATGCTAATGTGAGTATCTTAAAAAGTTGTAAACAATTTATTGCGAAAAATATATTTTTCTTTTCGTAATAATTGCAAAGATTTGAAAAGAACTCCGAAAGAATTCTAATCATCGAAGTTTAAAATAATTAGATCTGTATCTGTCAAAATTTTTAGATATTATATATACTTCAGCAAAATCATTCTTTTTAAGTATAAATCCTATACTTTATTTCTCTATACATATAATAACCCGTAATTTTGCAATAATCTTAAAAGATTTATTTTGGGTAGTAGATCTTTATAAAAAAATATTGCTGAAATTTATACATAAATTAATGTATAAAATTACATTTCCTTAGTATAAAATTTAAACTAATAGATAATGCAGCTATTATTACTAATCATAATATATTAATGCACACAAGTACAGATATTATAATAAAAGAATACACGCAAAACGTCGTTAACAAGTAAGAATAAAATACTAAGAGATTTTACGGTCTTTTGTAAAATGAATTATTATTCTTTGAAGTATAATACTTATCTGATCGCCTTATAGCGTAAGCTGATGCGTTTCGCGCTTAAATACGCGGAAAATTTTGTCGGTTCAACACATCTTTTTATGTTTGAAAACTTTGCAATCGTCGGAACGCAGGTATCTCTTGGGAATCAGGCAATGAAATCTGTTCTTAAAGATTTCGCCGAAAAGAGAGGATACTAAGCGAAGGGCGTCGTTTAGACGGTCAATGTTGGAGACCTCGAAAACGGGGCCACCTGTGTATCCGTCCCATCCGTCGTGGGTGGGCCTGTAGGTAATGCGAAACATCGAACTAGGGTGCAGATCTGACTTAGGGTAGATTTCCGTAGGGGTGGCGCATACGAGCGAGAGAGGAAATGCAGTCCAACCACTTAAAAAGCTACAAACGTGACGATATGTAGACCAACACGTAGACAGACTATCTCGGATTTCTTCCTGTCGACCACCGTGTTAGTCGTCGGTTTTTTAAGTGCCAAGTGTGAACAAAGCGTTCTTTGCCTTCACAATAAGAGACAGTTTGCCTGCTAACATACCAGAAAATATTAGAATAAATATGTAAAGGTCCATTAAAAAGAAAATGATAAAGAAGAAAGGAGATGATTTTCTACAACTATATTTACTGAAAACAAAGATTATTTATTTTTTAAATATATCTCTGAAGGGAGTCGAGCTGCTATTATTTTATAAGAAAATTAATATGAACAGAATACCGATGAGAACATGCCGTAATGGTCGAGCTGAATCTTGAATGCTTCTAATGTAATTTCGTGTGAATTTATATACTACGTATGTAGATTCTTAAATGCGCTCCGAAATTTTTTCAGACTTACAAGGCAAACTCTAATAAACTACCGCAGTACTATCACGAATTAAACTAACTAACAATCTAACAATTTTGATGCTCATAGCATCTTGTCCTTAATAATAGTGAATGACATATTAAAAATCTGTAAATAATTTATATCGCGAAAAATATTACCCCGGCCGAGAATCGAATCCGAATCTCTGGCATTCCGTCCGAGCATCCTGAGCCTTTAGACTACCGAAGCAATATGAACAGGTTTTCTTTTAACAATGAACTCCTTTATGTGCAGTTTAAGCAATTAATTTTTTTTTAATGTCCATACAGAATATGCAATGAAAAAGATGGAGGGTTCTATTTAAAAAATTCAAAGTGATTTTGCCCTAATTTTGACCAGGTCATTCAAGATGAAACCAATGGTAAATTATAAATGCCATCGTATTTTCCCCTTGTATTTACATAACTTTCATCTGAAACTTTTTTCATTCCCACGTCTCATTTTCGAGAAGTGCATTAATTAAAATAAAAAACCCGGTACATTAGAAATATACATTGAGTTTAATATGTCACTATAAACTAACTATATATATAACGTTATTATATACCTACTCCCATAGCATTTTTCTTTATCTTTGGTTACTACCTTTGGCTACAAACTTATATTATATCACGTATACTTTTTTTTGTTTAATACTAATAAAGTAAAGTTTTATATGAAATAAACGTTTTGTCAATTAATATACCTAGTATACTATAATACTCAGTATATATTCATATTTACACAAAATTATAAAATCTTTATTTTTAGTAAATTCGTACGTTTCATAATTTTTCTCATGCTACTCTCGAAACAGTGTCTTCCGATAAATGAAGAATTGTCCATTCTGTGCTATAGAGATACTGTATTGAAGGGTTAATTATCGTATGACATTTAAATAATATTCTTGTCGCTTATTTTGTTCCGATTAAAAGTAATATCTGATCTCTCAGTTCGAGTGTTGAATCAGCTAGCAACTCTGCTATTTGCCAGAAAAATCTTGGAACAAGTGCATCCCCGGATCACTCCCGTAACGCCCGCGAGGATTTCCGTGTATCGGCGACGTTCCCCTATCTCTTCTCCGATCCCTCTGATTCCCCAGCTTCCTCCTCTCTCTTCTCCCCTGTATAGGTACGTCGCTTCGCCGCCTTCTTCTAATTTTACGAGCCGTTGACTCCCGATCGATGGAACGAACCGTTTCGAAACAGCCGGCCGTTTTCCGCCACGCGCCGTTGGCTGTCCGGTGACGTAATTTTCCCGGAGCGAAACCGAGCTGTCGCGCGCCGGGTAATAAGATCGGAGAATTTGCAAGAGATCGCCGATGCTAATGCGAGTCCGGGGGCAATCGGATCTCTCCGATCGCCAATCTCCTGTCCGCCATGTACTAACCAACGGCCATTTTTCCGCCTGTTACAGATCACGAAGCTCAAGATCGACAGTAATCCGTTTGCCAAGGGCTTTCGAGATTCCTCTCGTCTCACGGACTTTGAAAGGTAAGCTCTTTGTTAACTGATGTTATATAGCACCAAGTTCGATGAAATCGTCTATGATAAAAGAATTTGGAACTACAATCATAAATCAGTGTTGACTTCGCTTCAATTCTATATTGATGTAGGAAAAAGATTTATCTTTCTTTTTTTGAATAGTACAATTAAAGTTATTTGCTAGCCGTAAAATCATATAATTAACTACTAGTTTTAAAGGAGATCATTAATCTAGCGCCAAAAAGTCTATGACAGAGAAGATAAATACGAAAATTTGAAAACGTAATGGACAGTTCATTATTAAATTTTGCTTGTCATGGCTGACGAAAGTCTGATGTCCTTTTGAAGAATATCGCGATTAACAGACGGCATGCATAAAATGGAGCAGCTTCCCTTTTAGGGAGACGATGGAGTCAATGCTGGCAGAACAGCAATCGTTGAGGTTTCCGCACCGGCTTCCCTTTGAAATGGAACAACTTCAGCCAAGTACCGTGAACAATCTCAGTCTCGAGGAGAAAGCCTTGTGGGCTGCACGTTCTCAGATGCTGCTGAGAGCGGCGGCGGCCGTAGCTGCTACCAGTCCTTACGCCCAGTTGGTCAACCCCACTTTGGTTTATCCGGGTGCCTCAGCCGCGGGTACCAGTCATCAGCAACAGCAACATCAACAGCAACAGCAACTGGGCCACTTATGGTGGGCCTCTTCAATTGGATCTACTATCTTTGCAGCGGCACACCACCAACAGCAGCTGGTCGCGTCCAGTTCCCAACAGAATCCGACAGGCCCCGCAGCCCCACGACCGCTCTATCCGTCGCCCCTTGCTTTGGCTCACAACCGTTTCACGCCCTACCACACGACTGTCCCTAAGTCCTCGACGCCGGCTGCGCCGTCGCCGTCGCCGTCCAGAAGGGCCACGCCATCTCCTACAGACAGTCTCAGCAGGGAGGCCCAAGACCTTTCACCCTCGTAGTCTCTTGTGGCTTTATTAGGAAAACAATGATCGCGATTTTCTTTTGGAGAGACTCGATAGATCAGTTTTCTGTGGCTGAACTAGTGTACTTTTTGGAACTTAAAGTGAGATAGGTATATGTTTGATATTTGGCGAAGAAGTGAGAAAGAGAGTTCTACAGTTTAATGCAGGAATAAAAATCAGAATAATAGAGTTCTACAATCTAATGCAGGAATAAAATTCAGAAGAAGTTTGATATCTCAAACATGTTATTAAGACTGTACGAGCTTTTTCTCATTTAGATAAAGAGACTCTATACAATTGGAATATACAATTGCGTAGCGTTTTTTATAGAGGAATCTATTCCTCTTGATGTGATGAAAGTCAACTTTTTTCGACTAAGACCGAAATGTAATAATTAATTCATTTTGCAATATTCGTCTTCTTTCATTGAAAAATTGACGAAACTTTTGCGTGCGTTGTTCGATTTCCATCATGTTATTTAAAAAATAATACAAATAAGTGTGTAAAAAGAGCCTTATGTCCATTTCTACCGAATTAAGTTAAACCAAGATTAAAATTAATCTATTTGGTAGAAATATATATTATAGGTGTTATGTTCGATCAAAGCGGAGGTGCCTAATAATAATTATTGTATGAATTTTTACATACATTTTCCAGTTCAAGTAAATTGCCTGTCGATTATTTGTTTGTCTTGAAACACAATCATAAACTGAAACTAGAATTGTAATAGGGTAAACTTGGGTAAGATAAACGTGTGGAAAAATGGCCATAGGCTTTCAGAATGACTACAAAAATGCTTTATATTTAGCAATTATTATTAAAGAAATTACAACTCATGGCCATAATATCCAAGCTCACCTTGTCATCATGAAATAAACTGATACAATTTAATAATGAAGATTATTATTAATAATATAATCTTATAATGATATATTGTTATTATTATTATTAATAATAATTATTAATTTAAAATAATAAATACCTTATTTTATTTTTACAATAAATCTTTATATTTTATTTTTTTCAGAATTACAAAATTCTTAGCATTTACAGAATTTTCTCGTTAAAAGTGCAATATTTATCGTTTAATTAATTATTACGTTTTTTGTCACTGAATTATGAAGGAGCCGGTCTCCATTCCGTTAGATTAATACAAAATAAACGCGAGCATTTGCACATTTATATACATGCGTAATGTGACAAATTGGTACGAAATGTTTACGTAAAAACGAGGATCGATTTCCGTCGCGCGTGTCACGTGTCACACGGCTTCGGAAGACGTCGCAGAGGAAGTTGCCGCGAGTCCGGGGTACCGACGAAACGTGCAGAATCCGGCGTGAATAGCGACGATAATTGTAGTGTCAAAGGTTCCCGAGTTGGCCACAGCGAGTTGTCGTTCTCCGTCCTTTTCTCGCGCCGCGCCGCAAAGATGGACCGGAGGAAAGAAACGTTAAAGCTCACGCTCTTCGAGAGTCTGAATACTGCCTCTCTCGGCTGAACTCTCGACCTTTGGCGTGGTGGCAAAGCACAGGGGACCCGAGCCGTCTCACGTGACTCGGCGATTCCGTTGTCTCCCTGACTAAACCCTGGGACCGAGAGAGAAGCTCGATTTGTACATATCCTTGCCTTGATCAGCGATCGGAAGTGATAGGGCCGCCGTGATCTTGGTAGTTAGAATTATGGGCGTAGTCAGGAGGAGTGAAGGAGGCCGTGGTTTTCATTTCAACTTTAAAGAAGAACAGAAGTAATTAAAGTTCTTAAGCAGATCATGTTTAGTGAGTATTCATAGGAAATTAATTTTAGAAAAAAAAACCAGAAAGGTATAGATTTTCTGAAAATCCAAGACAGTCAGTGTTCTAAATTTAAGTTTTTCCAATTCGAAGACTCAATCAGTCAGTTTAAACAAAAATAAAATAATAATAATAATAAAATTAGTAAATTATAAATATATGTGTGATTTACTAGTAATTAATTAACTGTAATAATATAAAATAAAACAAATCTGATAGTCCACACATACCGATTATTCTCTTCCCTCAGGTTTAAAAATCTCAAATTTATTTTGACTCCTTTTCTAAAAGAATCCTGATTACGTCCATGGTTAAAATACATCTAAAGATGCACTTTGAAATCAATAAAAATAAAAACAATATTGTTGCATAAAAATTTCTTGCACTTGCAGAAGAGATGCTGCAAACAAGATATCTTGAAGTTTAAGTTCTACCTGACATGTATCTTGCAACATATAAATTGATCGCCCAGACTACTCTCACTGTCAAAGGAAAAACTGTTGATGATACGCCGAATCGGTTCACCCTATTTTTCGAGCGAAAAGGTTTTCGTTGTGCGTTCTCATTTCTATATTTCATCGAAATTGTTACTTTGTAGCTGCGTATCTTCATATGCAAAAAACACAGTAGTTGTGTGTCGTTCCAAAGTCGAGCGAACGATCTGCAAAGATCACAATGATCTTCAGCGAATCGCATGCGCAAGAATACGAACGGATTGTACATATGTAACCATCCTGATTCTCAAGGCGGCATAACTGCCGTATAATGCCGTATACATAATACACGTATATACATACATCTTTAAGGACAACACTAAGCTGTACGACGACTAAAGTCTACTTGTATATAGGTATACATATATATACTTACGTTATAAGATAACTACGCCTCTATCTCTTGTAATATAAGCTGTATATTTCGTATCACAAGCTATTGTTATCGTTATTTATGTTTCGATTCCATACTTCGACGTGGAGTGAGCGCGAAGTGAGCGCCTTGAACGTGACACGTTTTGACTGAAAGGATTTACAGTACTTCGATAAATCGTTTTCCACATATCACCGATCTCTATAAAGGACATCCTAAAGATATCCATAGAACATTCTATGAACGTTCTCAGGATGTCTCTTAAATAAAGTATGTTATGTAGATTAAAGAACCGACAGTTTTGAAATTCGATTCACGTTTAAGTTGAGCCTAGCGAGAGATTGAAAAATCCTCGCTATCGTTAAGGGCCAGTTTCACAATTCACGGTTAACTCTTAACCGAAGTTCAACTTATTTCTCATCTTTCCAATTCTAGAATTAAAAAGAGATAAAAAATAAGTTAAACCTCGGTTGAGAGATTAACGGTGAGTTGTGAAATTGGACCTAAGTATTTCAGGGTGACACTTCGCGCATTCTCTGCAAGCACCTAAAGGATTATTATCGCCGCGGCGATTAGTGTTAGTATAGATAGAGCGTTACATTGTTAATGCTTGTGTTGTGAGAAATGCGTACACCTATTGCTGTGCAAGCTGCTCCCCTTGTAAATAAACCCTAATAAACTTCTTGTACCGAATATATCCGAGCCGCCATTACAAATTTTCTTTTCCCTAGCCATCGTCCATTTCTTTTATCAATTCGTTCCCAAAATTGTCTTGTTTAAATTACTTAAGAAAGATAACAGACTTAATTGTATTTTTTATCATCTCTGTTCGTAAGAATTTAATCCAGGATGATCCGTGCGGGAAGGTACTGAAGCATATACATCATCGTTATCATATAATTAACTCATAAATAACACGAAAACATTTCCTTCTCTCTCTTGTAGATTATTTATCGCCAGGTTGCAGATATTATCCTACGGACAAATCGCTCGAGTATCTACTCTTTCATCCTTGGCGTGGGTAAGCCTGATGTGATCGAGGTAAGGAACTATTATTCGCAGTTGATCTTGTCCGAGCTGACGTGTACACGCTTAGGCAAATGTTGTCGGTTCTGTATGGTTAACTGGCTACAGAATGCCCCGTTTAAAGGCATCATCACGCGATCCTCAAGCCGGCCGTGCGATTAGGGGATGAAGGAGTCACCATTTGTTGCAAAATGCAAGCCAGCGAGTCTGACTGATCACCAATGCGGTCACGAGATCGCTCTCGCGTTGTCCGTTCTAGCCGGGCATTTTTTGTCAGCATATGTGACACTCGTTTTTCGTTATAAGAATTAATCTCTCTGTTTTAATAATATATTTTTTAATTCCTCTGTAATAAATAATTTTATTAAATTATTCAGATAAAGAATTGTTACACTGAAAAAAAATTTCTTAAATTTAAGTGATATTTTCTTGAATAGTAATACCGAGTAAATGTTTCTTTATTGCAAATAAATATTTACTGAATGCAAACATATATTATTCGATTTAAGTATTATTTTTTGTTTGAATAAACATTTTGCAGTAAAGAAATATTTACTTACAACTAATACTATTCATAAGAAAACACTATTTTTTCGAAATTTTTTTTCAGTGTACAAGTAAAAATCTAATATACAAGTACTTACCTAATGAATGTATTCTAGTACTAAAAATATTATGTTCTGAAGTTAATTATAACAGAATTTTACTAACTCTTATACTATAAACTGAAAAAAGGTTCACATATACAAAAATTATCGTAAAATTACATATTAGTCGGAATGGCTTTTGTCAGCCATTATATGTCATTGAGTATTTTCTTAGTAAATTTCAACTGATATTTTATAAAGCGTTGTTTTATTCTTTACAAACATCACATTATATATTTATTTTATCTTCTATCCGTTAAATTGCGAACGTATGTGAAAGCCTTAACTTTCACTGCGTCAGCAATCGAAATAATTAATTAGTATCCTAAAGTGGGATTAAATTTATCGTTCGCATAGTTATTCGCTTTATTAATTCGTCGAGCGATCATCATGTCGTAAAGTGGGCAGAATGAATACATTTCCGTCGTTATGGCCGTATCGGGCTGGCATTAGGACATGAATAGACGTGCGGCCGGTCGGCCCCGACGATCCATCCTTCGGTCGTAAATCACGCGTCGTGTTCGGCACGAAAGGGCGACGGGATCCGGTATTAGCAGCGGCGCCGAGAGGAGTGACACGGTGAGAGCGTTACGACGAAAAAGGGAAAAAGTGGCGCGCAACGTCTCGTCGTCGTAAACATCGAGGATGTCCGGCCGCTTGATTAGGT